CATTAATCTTACCGGTTATACCAGTATTACACCAACAATTATATTATGGATTAGACAAAGATCATTACAAAATATGTCAGATTTAGAGTGGTATTTTCTTGGCCTTTCCCTCCAAAAGTGGCCTTTGCCCATACACTAGATACTGTCATGGATTGGAGTTTAAATCAAGGGCCAAGTGTCAGCCAGATTATTGAAATCTTTTGAGGACACAGTATCTGCATACTGGGGTCCATCTCTAAGGAATGCTTTGGCTTCCTAATATAAAAGAAGGCATTAGCCAAATCCAGAACAAAATACTGATGTCTCTGAGCATGTAGCCTAACTTTAATTGTAGATAGCATATTAGATACAGCTGATGATTTGGGGGCCAGGGTGGGGGTTACAACTACCAAGTCCTCCAAAATCTATAGTTAACCTCTCCTTTCTATCAGCTTTCCTTACATACCATGAGACCTTTAAATGGGAATTTGTAAATACTAACAAAGCTGCATCTAAAAGATCCTGGGGTGGGGGGGTGCACCTGGGTGGCTCGGTTGTTAAGCGTCTGCCTTCTGCTCAGGTCATGATCCCAGGGTCCTGGGATCGAGCCCCGCATCGGACTCCCTGCTTGGCGGGGAGCCTGCTTCTCCCTCTCCCACTTCCCTCTGCTTGTGTTCCCTCTCTGTCAAATAAATAAAAAAATGAAAAATGAAAAATGAAAAAATGAAAAGAAAAAAAAAGATCCTGGGGGTGTCTGGCTAGCTCAGTTGGAAGAGCATGCAACTCTTGATCTCTGGGTAGTGAGTTTGAGCCCCCCTGTTGGGTGTAGAGATTACTTAAATAAATAAAAGCTTAAACAATTTTTTAAGTTAAAAAAAATCAGAGATCCTTAGCTAGGGGCACGTGGCTGGCTCAGTCAGCAGAGCATGTGACTCTTGATCTTTGGGGTCCTGAGTTCAAGCCCCACATTGGGCCTAGAGCTTACTTAAAAAAAAAAGGACTCAGTAGATTTATATAACATCATATCGATTCCAATAATGCACTATGGTCAGGGGGAGGCAACAACCATACATGGTTTCTGTCCAGAAATTCCTTTGTGGACTATGCTTTCACCTGTAAGCCTTCTAGAGTAACATCACATTCCTGTAATATTTCCCTCTCAATTTTCATTTGACTTTTAAGTCGTAACAATACATAGATCATCAAGCCTAGCAACTGTGTATTTTTTACTGCCCTAAGGCCATGTCACCAATACCAATGAAAGCAGACTTGGGGTCCCTGCTGGAAGGTCATGAGACCCCGTCACTCAGTCATAATCCTCTGCATTTCCTTGCCTGGTTATAATCAAAACAGGTTCTGAGAAGATTATAGAGGCCTCTTTTTTATTATCTTAGTATTTTAAAAGTTTATTTTGACTAGGATAAATTGAATTTGTCCCAGTTCTTTGAACAGATTGCCAATTTCTTAGTGATCCACCAAAATTTTATTAACTATTCCATCTACCTTCTCCTTTTTAAAGATGTTACTTTTAATCAACCACGTGAACATCTTTATCTGATTTAGTTATTCTGAGAATTCTTCCATCTTTTATTTATAGTTATCTTTCTTCTGAATAATCCTTATCTTTTTTTTTTTAAAGATTTTATTTATTTATTTGAGAGAGAGA